GAAGTCATCTGGGTATTTTAAGAACATGTGATGCATTATGCATGTCTTATTTTTTTGTTGAAAGAAATCATAGTTAGTATATTTAAAGATGTGAATGCCTGGAAAATTATAGGGAGGGAAATGTGGGATTATTTTTCCCCCTGAATTTTCTGGGATTCTCAGTATTTTCACATCTGCACCCGGCTTCCTGGTGTGTTGGGCAGAGAAAGGAACTAGAGAGAACATTCCTGCTTATCCCCTTTCCAGCCTGTGCCCAGCTGCGTCTGGTGTCAGCAGCCCCAGGTCCTTCTCAGGCTCTGTTCTCAGGCCTGTTCTCCAGCCCCCGGGAAAAGAGAAAATTGCACCCGCCTTTGGAAGCGCCACCTCGGTGTCGCCCGCAAAGGCCTCTGGCAGCCGCAACCATGGGAGCACAGCGCCACCTGGAGGCCGTGGTAGAAATAGCAGCAAGAGAGGGATTCCCATCACAAGCCCTGGTGCAGGGAAGGGCAGGAAGAAATGCACATTATGCGCCAACGTACTGCAACGCATGAATGAAGCCCCATCCGATGAAGCACCTTAAATTCTAGGGATGACCTTGAGGGGGTGGGTGGGAGGCCTGAAGTTATGGCGATGTGGACATTTATATTGGTGTGAACCCCCTGCCTCCAGCCTGGAGACCAGGCTGGAGATAACAAGATAACAAGGCGTCTGGTGCGCCAGGTGCTTAATAAGTGCTCGTGGAGTCCAGCTGAGGCCCTCCAGGGTCACAGCCCAATCCAAGAGGAATCTGGATTTGAGTCACCGAAGGTGAGGCCACGGCTCTGGCAGGAACAAAGGGTAAAGGTCAAGAGCAGAGGGCCCGCCCCCAGGCCGGGGCAGCTCCTGGGACCGGTGCCAATGTCCCTGGCTCGGCCTCACGTGACCCACGCTCGGGGAAGGGAAATGCCAGGTCCCTCGGCTGGCATCTGAAAAACAATAAGGCAGCAGCTGCAAGAGAGATGACTAATGAGCGCTCTGGGGAGCAATTCAGGACATTGTACATGGAAACTTATCTCATTCAAAATTGATCAGCTATCACTCTCTAATTAAGGAGAAAATGTGCTGATCTCCCCGGCTTTCCGGGAACGTGGGCCTGGGGCCATGGCAGGCAGCTCTGCTGAAGAGGGCCCTCGGATCTCAGACCATGACCCCGAGAAGGGCTTTGAAACTACCACCTGCAGCCTCGTTCACCCACTCGCTGTGTCCCAGACAGGCCCAACAGCAGAGCTGGATGGAGTCTTGGAGAGCTTCTAATCCAACCTGCTCCTTTTACAGACGCAGCGAAGCTCAGAGAGGTTACACTACTCCATTAAGATCACACAGCAACAGAACCTGAGAGAAAGTCAGCTCCCAGCCCAGACCATTTCGCACCATGCAGCGATGCCGGCCTGACTTCTCCCGCGTTGAGCCCTCGAAGCTCTGGGAGGGTCACTGTACGTGATGTTCTCTTACACAATGCATTGTAGCTCCAGGCACTTGGAGAAGCCCCTGCCCGTTCTTTACAATCAGGCCATGACCCTCACCTCTTGTCCAAAAACCAACTCCCACAGGCAGCCTTCCAGGATCATTGGCCCACATCCATCATCTTATTCACCAGTTTACTCATTCATTCCATGTACATTCAACAGTTAAGAGCTGGGGCTCTGGAGTCAAAGTGCCTGGGCTTAGATCCTGTCTTTCCTGGGTGCTTGAGTGAGATACTTGACCTCTCTGAGCCTTGACTTCATTTTGTTTAAAGTAAGAATAATACAAACACATAGCTCACAGTGAAGATTAAGTGACGTTAATCATGTCCATTCCTTTGCAGGCCCTTAGCAAAGAGCAAACCCTAATGTGAGCTTTAATTAGTGCAGAGTGACAGCCTAAACAAATCGTGCTGGAGCAGAAATAAGACAGTTCCTGCCTGAGACATGGGCAAGATGGCTGAGCAAGGAGGACTGGATGATGGCATGTCAGAGGAGCAGCCCCTAACTCCACCTAAGCGGGGAGGGTCAGGGGAGCTTTTCTGAAGGGAATACCTAAAGCTGAGTTTTAAAGGGTGAGATGTTAGCAAGGTGAAGAAAGGACCAGAATGCCAAGGGCGAGACTCAGCAATAGCAGAGGCAAGGAGGCAGGAACGGCAGGCGTGTTTAACGAAGCTCAGAGGCTCGGTGTGGCTGGAGCCACGGGTGAGAGAGAGACACGTGCAGAGGCCTGGAGAGATGGCCAGGGGCTGGGTCACATGCCTCCATGTGCCTCAGAGGACCCAGGGCTTGAGCCTGGAGGTGACGGGGAGCCTGGGGACCTTCCAGGCTCCGCCTCTCTTCGAGCAGAAAAGGCCTGTGGTCAGACCGGTGTTTCTAATAGATCACTCTCAGCTCTGTGGGATGGATGTTCTCTGCTTGGCTTCCCTTCAGCAAAGATACCCTACCCTTGGTGGCTTTGTTTTGAACCATCAGGGCATCTGCTCTAACCACGCCAATCTCAAAGGCCCTCCCAGCTACAACATTCTGTGAATCAAAAACGCTCCAACAGCCATCATCCATCCATCTCTAGGGCTTATTTGTTTTCAAACCATCAGGCCACTTTAAAAGACAACGCTGAGTGTTTTGAGGGCAGAAACTGCGCCACATTCATCTCTGAATCCCCAGGCACAGAATACACATTTAGCTGATGTTTCTGGGGTGAATAAATGCCCACCAAGGATACCAAAACTTCACTCTCTTCCTCTGAGCACCCCCAAGGCCCTTCGTGATCACCCGCATCAGATCTGTCCACATCCAGGTTAGGACCAGGGCTGCAAAAGGTGTCAGAGTCCGCCCTAGTTTGTCATGCTGTTTGCTGTTTGCATTTCCCATCATAATTCTGAGTGAATTGGGGCTCCTCCTCCATCAGGATAAGCCTCAACCTGCGGTCTGTAAAACCAGGCGTGACTGGGGATTCCCAGGGTGCTGACGGGCTTCAAAAACACTGTGCGCCTGTAATATTCACTTGTCTCTTGGACAGTTTTCCTTCTTAGCCTCTCAGGTTCAATGTGATTTAAAGGGAAAGGGCTTTATACTGACTTTGACAGCGTTGAGCAAATCACATAAGCTGCAAAAAGGAGTGATAGAGCCTTCACTTCCGGTTCACCCTAAATCTAAGAAACACACCTGACACCAGTAGAGCCAACATTGCCAGGATGGTGATGATGTGTGGCCGTCGGTAAACTGTAACCCTACCAGAAAGTTCTCACTGGTACAACGGGGTGAACAATACTTTGTCGGACTGTAAGCATTCACCCATATCAAATACCTCACAAAGAATTTCAAAACGCCAGGAACAATTATTCAAGACCATCCTGGCCGAATGCTGTCTGCGTTGGATTCAAGTGGCTGAGCCTAAGGGTTGAATTGAAATTCACCACAATCCCATGGTTAGTCCCCCACCACCAGCTTCCACAGGCTTCCCTGATAGCTCAGTTGGTAAAGAATCAACCTGCAATGCAGGAGATCCCAGTTCGATTCCTGGGTTGGGAAGATCCCCTAGAGGAAGGAAAGGTTACCCACTCCAGGATTCTGGCCTGGAGAATTCCATGGACTGTACAGTCCATGGGGTTGCAAAGAGTCAGACACCACTGAGCAACTTTCACTTCTTCACTGGCTTCCCTCCCACAGATCAGTCTAAGCCCCTTCAAGCCCGCTAGAAAGGAGCTCCTTAAACCGAGGGTGGGGACTTGCATGGGTGACGAAGAGCACAGGGCAGTCTCAGTCCAGCCAGGCTATGGCCACGCGTGGACCTCAGGTCTGCAGTCTGGGTCCGTGTGAGCTTGTGTTCCCAACGAGCTGTCACCTCGAGGCAGTGATGGTGTGCTGCTGTGTCTCACATGACGGGCACCTCAACTCCAGGAGCCTTCAAGACAGAAGAATCAGTCTGCCCAGGGTATGAGTCAGTCTGGGGCAAGAGCAGGCTGCCTTCTCTGCTTTTCAACCACTTGATCAGATTTACTCACAATATCATGCCGAGGGCAGAACTCTTCATAGATTTAACACAAACCCTCCTCCCCCACTCACCCCTACACACAGTTCATTCATCCTCATAACCTGGACCCTCTTTCAAAGCACCTGCTGAAAGGACAAACACAGCAGATGCTTTTGAGATGCTCTGAGGTCAGCCCCACCAGTCCCCCTCCCATCCTGCCCACCCGCCACCCCCAACACCTCTATGTAAAGCCAGGGTCCTGACGCCTCCCTGGACAGGACTCTGGGCGCGCGGGCTCTCACCAATCTGCCTCCGCCACCCCCAACACCTCTATGTAAAGCCAGGGTCCTAACGCCTCCCTTGGACAGGACTCTGGGCGCGCGGGCTCTCACCAATCTGCCTCCTCCTCCACAGCATGGACCCCTCCACTAACATGGGGAAGAGTCTCATGGGGCGTTCCTATGAACACCAAGGAAATGAGGCCCATCGCTGGTGAACAGGAGGATCAGGAGACTGGAACCGCTTGGAGTTTAAATGTGGACCACCCACCGCACTAGTTGTGTGCTTTTGACCAGGGAACATCCCCTCTTGGGACTGGCTTCTCTGCTTGTAGGGTGAGATGCCATGAGAGCCTGCAGGGTCTTGTGAGGATCAACTCACTTTGAAATCCAAGTCGGACAGAGCTTCGAGTACACACGCTAGTCCCGTGCTGTTCCCCGTGCCCACCTGCCCCACCCTCGCGAGAGGTGAAACCTCGCAGCCTGTACTCGGGATGTCAGGACAGAGCTCTTCAAAGACAGCTCTGGGCGAGGCCAGGCATGACCTGCAAGCACTGTTTCCGGGCTGCCCCGACACTCCACACACAGCCCCCCTCTTTCAGCATTACCAAGCTGCCCCCACCACGGGGAGCCCCAGACCTCCTTGCAGCCAAGGAAGGACAGAGGCCGCCAGGTCTCCAGTTCATCCTATCAAAACAGGACCCCATCCCTCCCAGGGAAGCATCAGCCTAGCCGTCAACTCCTGTTCAAAGCACAGGCTCCCAGTCGGTTATAAGGTGTTTTATTAGTGCTGTCCACACTGGACACTGCACAGAGCTGGTGTGAGCCCTGAGAGCGCCCCCCCCGCCCCCGCCCCGGCACAAAGGGGGGTGGGGGCAAGGACACTCAGAGCCACTCAGAGCCAGGGAAGGGAGAGAAGAAGGTGCTGCGCATGGGACTTCAGCGACCTCGGCCACTCAGAGGCAGTGAGAGCGGCTCCCCACTTGTCTGCACTCACAGAGTTGACTGAGATGAGGGAGGGGTGGAGGGTGCTGAGAGGAGGGGCAGTGTGATGGCACTCGGGATGTGAGCCTTTCAGGGGCGGGGTTAGGGTTAGCCTGGACAAGGCCCTGGCCTCAAGATGCTGGCTGCTACTTTTCCTTGGTGGGAGCCTCCGTGAGAAGCTGAGAAAACTCAAGGCGGGGACAGCAGCATCCTTATTGCTTCCTTTGTGGCTTTCCAGCTCAGCCTGGGCAGAGAAAACCAGAGCCAGCCCTCAGCCAGTTCAGACTTCCGAGTTCCAAGTCAGGGCGGACACGTGCTCCCAGCGCCCTCTCTTTAGGTCCGGTGACCCCAGGAAGGCTGCAGCTAAGTGGCCCTGTCCTCACCGAGATGGAGGGCCACTGAACTGGCAGCATTCCAAGCGCCCCTGCCAGCGACCTGCCTCCTTTCTCCGACCAGAGTCCCGCCTGTCAGGCAGAGGGCAGATGCCGCATTCACTCCCTTTGATGCTGAAGTGCCTGCGTACATGTGGGAGGCCGGCAGCGTAAGGGACGGGGGCACACAAGCAGTCTGGAGACTCTTCCACAGGGACCCACACCCCGGTCAGGGGAGCGGGGAGAAGACAACAGACAGAAAAGCTGGAGGCCACGGACTTTGGCGCTCGGGCAGTGGGCTCCTCTCAGCCACACACGGGCTCACCTGGCTCCAGGGAAGGGACATGGCACCCCCGTGGCCCGTGCCAGGGCAGGGCATGGGGTTCTGTGCCTGTGCCCCGGGCTGGCAAAGGCCAACCCCACACTGGACAAAGGCGGCCTTCCGCAGCTGGCAGCGGCCCCGTCACTGCTCTTGTAAAGGCCCGGAGATGATAAACACCCCCGAAGCAGGGCGGAGTGTCCCCGTGCCCACCTTAGCTGTTGTACAAGCGCACCACCCGGCTGATTTCCTGCCTGCAGATCGGGCACCGCCGGGGCTCAGGCAGCGCGCGGTAGCACTGGACGCAGGCGCACACGTGCCCACACTCCAGGAAGACGCACGACCGGAAGTTGCTCAGGCACACGACGCAGGCGCCCTTCGGGCCCTCCCGATCCTCCTCAGGACGGTCCTCCTCGGGACGGTCCTCCTCGGGATACGCGCGCTCCCGGAACTCCTCCTCCGGCCGCCGCCGCTCGCGCCGCCGCCGCAGGTACTGCTTCCGGAGGAGGAAGAAGAGGGTGGCGCAGGCGGCGAAGCCGAAGACCAGGGCCAGGACCTTCCAGAGCCGGACGCTGGACTCCTGCCGCTGCAGCAGGCTGTCGAAGTCCTGGCTGCTCAGGTAGTACTGCATGCCCGGCCCCTTGGGGGGCTGCAGGCGCACGCAGCTGTGGTCCAGGACCAGCTCGCCCACCCCCGTGAGCGGCGCCCCCACCTTCAGCATCTCCTCCGTCTCCTGGATGCCCTTGGGCCGCTCCCCGCTCAGGTAGTGGCCGAGGACGTCCGTGAAGGACGGCGTGGAGGGGTGGAAGTTCTCGTATACCGTCTCCAGGCCCAGGTCCACCGCGTCCAGGGGCTTCAGCACGCGCACGGCCACGCCCGCGCAGTCCTCGTGGGGCACCAGGTCAAAGGGCACCGTGTTGGTCCTCTGGTGAATGATCTTGGAATAGTCGTTCCTGCAGGAATGAGGACGCAAGATAAATCAGAGGACCACAAATACCGCACAGCCAGATGGGGGTGGAGACCACCTCAAGGCCAGGGCAGGATTAAGCGTGAAGTGAGGGCAAGAGAAGAGGACAACAGACATCACGCCCGTCCAGAGCCTCGGAAGAGCGAGGCGCAGGTCTTCCGGTTCTCTGGCCCTCAGTGGACAACCAGTGCAACAGAGACCACCTCTACTCTTCATCTCCCTTTGCCCCCGTCAAAACACATCGATTTTTATCTTAAACTTCTCAAAAAACTTAAAAACAGAACTACCATATGTGACCCAGCAATCCCACTTCAGAGCCTGTATCCAAAAGAACTGAAATCTGGATCTGGAAGAGAGATCCATGCTCCCTGGTTCCCTGCTTACTCACAGCAGCCAGAACACAGAAACAACGTCAGTGGCTATCAATGAATGGACTTAAAAATGCGGTCCATACATACAACAAGATACCATTCAGCCTTTGAAAAAAAAAACAAAAAATAAAGAAAAAGGAAATCTCAGCACATGCGACATGGGTGAACCTGGAGGACGTGAAGCAAAGCAAACTGAGGCGGTCACAGGACAGAGACCGCAGGATCCCGTTTGCATGAAGTATCTAAAGTAGCCAAATTCATCGAAACAGAGTAAAACAGAGACTGCCAGGGGCTGCGGGAAGAAGGAAACGGGAGCTGATATTCACCGGGTGTAAGTTTCAGTTCTACAGGACCAGTGAGCGAGAAATCTGCTGTACCACCTGCACCTGTAGCTAGTGGTTCTGCACCGCGACACTTAAAATGTGTTAAAAGAGGACATGGCAGGTTAAGCATCCTTAGTAAAAATTAAAACTGAATTTTTAATTTTAATTTTTAAATTTTAATTGTAATTTTTACAATAAAAATTAAGATAAGACTCCAAAGCAGAACCCCCCGAGGATCAGCTGGAAAAATGGTACTGCATGTTACAGCGTGGAGCACTGAAAATCATCAATCCATGCCATCAACCCTTAGTGTGCACAGCTGCAGACTTCAGGTCCCCTACCCTGGAAATTCTATCTAGGCAGATCTGGAACAGAGGTCAGGAATCTGCATTTGGACAAGACGCCTAGGAGACTGCAGTGGCAGAGGTCCTCAGACCCGGCAAAAGAGTATCAGCGGCACTGAGACAATGGTCTCCGCCCTGTCTCAGGAAGAGCTTGAAGACGTGGAAACAGGGCCAGAACGTCAGCTTTTCAGCTGACCATCTGTGAGGTTTGGGCGCCTGGAGCAAGGATACGCACCAGAGGTGGGTTGTCCGGTTCCACACCATCTTGTGCTCCTGAAGCGTCAGCCGCTGAATCACCCCCTTGCAATTTTCCACAAACTGGCTGTTAAGCGTTTCTTTAACGGATCGAACGGCTCCTAAATGGAAACAAATTTTTTTATTTCTGAAGAACTATTCTGTCCTTTCCTTTAATGTTATTTAGATTTTGTTTTTAGTTTGAATTAGTTTAATTAATCAAAGTGATGACAATGTTATCACCAGTAGTTATGCTTTGTGGGCACTCTGCTGAGCAGTTTACATGGATCACATCATTTTAGTGTTATAACCACCCTGTAAAGTATATTTTGGGCTTCCCTGGTAGCTCAGACAATAAAGAATCTGCCTGCAATGCAGGAGACCTAGAGTTTGATCCCTGAATTGGGAAGATCCCCTGGAGAAGGGAACAGTTACCCACTCCAGTATTCTTGCCTGGAGAATTCCATGGACAGAGGAGCCTGGCAGGCTACAGTCAGTGGGGTTGCAGAGTCAGACACAACTGAGGACCTTTCACTTTCAGATCAACTTCCACTTTCAAAGTGTATTTTACAGATAGGGCAGTGGAGGCTCGAAAGCTTGTGTAATTTCCTCAAAAACATACAGCAGTAACCCAGGTCTTCTGGACCCCAAAATCTAAGTTCTGAACCCCGACCCCAAGGCTACAAAAGGCTTACGTCAGTGTCAGCCAGGAAGATCTTTATCAAACTCTGAAAGCCTGAGTTATTTTTCATTTTACCAGTAAATAGACATACCTTCAATAACAGCATAAGGCACACACTTTCCTGGAGCTTCTGAAAGAATATTCTTTAAGTCTTCACCCAAGTGGATTCTTTTAGCTCCCTAAATGGAAACAACAGATTGGACTGACTGTTGAATACTGACATGCTCAATCAAACAAGTGAAGAAAGAAAAAGACTCTTTTTTTCACATTGAGAAAATAGGGAACCAGGCAGGAAAGAGACTAAGGAGAGTCAGATTCCAAAGCTGTGTCCCAGAACTTTCACCATATAAACAGGAGTCTTGTTTCTGCCACCTCAAGTGGGGCTGCCACTTACACTCTATCTGCAGTGAACCAAACATACAGTCCTTTTCATTTTCACTTACTAAGATGAAAATATTAAAGGCACTAATCAATCTGCATACCATAAACTGAATGTAATTTGATCTCTTCTTGACAACACAGAACCATGCATCCGAAGAGTTTATGTGTAAAAGCACGTAAACTAGTGCCCAGTACATGGTAAGGGCTTGGGCAGTGGTTGGTATAATTATCACCAGGCCCCTGTCAGTTCATGCTCTGCATCAGACATTATAATAAAGCACTGCCTTTGCACTATAGGGTGTGGCTTTGTGCACCTGTGCTCAACATTACCCTACTTTTCCTACTTTTGCCTCCTTCCCTCTCATAAACAGGCGGGCACAGTCACCTCTGCCGCTGCCTTCCTCTCACAGTCCCCAGTTCTCCATTCCTTCCTATTCTGATCGCAATCTGCTGTGCGTGGGAAACAATCAAGCCTGTTACTGCTGCATCAAAAGTAAGGTAAAATAAAACCCCTGAACATTTCCTGAACCAGGCACTGTGCTGGGGGCCAGGGATTCAGGGATGAATGAAGGAAACGGTTCCTGCTTTCAGGTATTTTCATCAACACCATCTTAAGGATACCAGACAAGTAACCTCAAAAGAGGTGGGTAGTACTGGATACGTATTAAGGTCCCTTGGCATTTAAGCTGTTGCTACCCAGTAAACAACAGGAGCAAGGTCAATAAGAATTATTACCCACGTACACTTCGAAGGTAATAAAAACAATGGGCAGTAACAACAACTCACACTCAAGTTTATTTACTCGTTTATTATCTGTCCCTCCCTCCACTGGACTGTAAATGTAGGAGGGCTAGGACCCTACACCCTACCAACAGGACACCCTGTTGGTCTTGTTCACTGCTGTCCCCCTAGTGCCGAGATAGTGCCTGACCCATAGCAGGCACCAAATAAATATCTGCTGAAGAAATTAGTGAATAAATAAGCACTTAGATATACTACATTCCAGGCACTCTGTTAAGCACTTTAAATGCATAACACCATTTAATGCTCATACCATTCCTCTACAGTTAGACATTATCACCCCAATTACAGATAAGGAAACTGAGGCTCAGAGAGGTGAAGTGATTTGCTCAAAGTCACGTAAATAGTCAAGTATCCACCACAGGATAGTCTAAAAATTTTTTAGAAGGAAAGGAGATGAAATTCAGTCAGAAAGCCTGCGACTCAATCAAGCTTCAAGGCATCTATTGTGACTTTGGGAAACTTAATTTATTGGAGTCTGTTTCAAAACATGCAAAAAGTGAGGAAAACAATCTCAGGATTTTTACATGAATTAAATGAAACTTAAGGTGTGAAAGAATCCAGACAAGGGGCTGGCACACAGTAGGTGTGCAATAAATACGCATTTCCCTCACTATGAGAGATGTAAAAGGGTAAGACACAAACCCTACTCGGAAAGTTTTGTAATCGGATCAAGAAAACAGAGCCTAAGATATTAGGAGTTCCAAGTGTTTTCCCAGGCAGTCACTACTTATTTCATCCTCATTGAGGAATTAATTGGCAAAGCTTTTAAAGTCACCCAAAGATGGATCCTGGAGCACTCACTGCTTCAAAGGATCCCATCTCTAGCCAACCTGATGGCAGTGTGATTTCTGATTCAGAGTCAGAAACTGAAGTATCAATTACAACCATAGCCAATCATTTCAGAAGTAATTTAATTAAGCAGACAAGAAGGCAGCTGGACTCTCACCAGGCTGTGATTCACACCCCAAATTCAACTCCCGGGTAACTAGGTGCATTCCAAAACTCACACACTTGTTTCTAAGCTCTCAACACAAATTATCTGATGATAATGAAGCGTGTCAGGTTGAGGCATCCATCTTCCAAATAAATGTCAAATTAAGCCCTGCTGTATTATGAAATTTCAGCCAGGACTTCCCTGGTGGTCCAGTGGTTAAGAATCCACCTGCCAACGCAGGGGACACAGTTCGATCCCTTATCCAGGAAGATTCCCACATGCCTCGAGGCAACTAAGCCATGTGCTCTAGAGCCTGTGCTCTGCAACTAAAGAAGCCACTGCAATGACAAGCCTGCACACTGGAACTAGAGGGTAGCCCCTGCTGGCCACAACTAGAGAAAGCCTGGCACGGCATCGAAGAAATTAATCTGTTTTAAAAAAGAAATTTCACCCAAAACAAATCCACAAATATTTACTGAGTGTCTACTCTCTGCTAAGCATTGAGTTAGAATCTAGAAGGAAGGAAGGATAAGATTCCGTTTCTGACCTAATGAGGTTCATCTGTCATGAGGCGCTCACACATTCATAATAGAGCAATGTGGTCAACCAAAAAAAAAAAAAAATTCTACACTCTGAATCAAAAAGACCTAAATTTAAGCTCCAAACTGACACTGTACAGTCCTTTCCTCCAAGTTTCGATTTCTTGATTGGCAGTCTGGAGGTATTATTTCATCTACCTCAAATTACTGTGAAGCAGAACTAAAACCAAGACAGGAATATGTTGTGTAAATCGTCAGGTGCTGCATTAGGCAAGTGGGCAGTATTTTTTAAATGGCCATACAGTAAAAAGGCAGAGTATGCAGAAGCAAGGCGTGAGTGGTCACCTAAAGGGTAAATATGCTCTCCCCTCCCAGGCACCTGCACGCTTGCCTCGAATCCTCCTGGACTCTGCTCAACTGGACCCTGTTTAAAAGAGCAAACCTCCCTTTCTCCAGCATTCTCATTTCCTCTCTTCCCTGCACTAGGCTGTCGTTTTTAGCCTCACGTCTCCCAACACCTGACTGATTTACTGTCTGTCTTGTTGAACTAGAAAGCACTCTCCAAGAGGGCAGAAATTTGTCTGTTTCACCCAGGCTCGGGGCCTGGAGCATAGCAAGTGTTCAATAAAGATTTTTTTCGTCAATAAAGTGATGAAGTCAAGGTTTATTCTGAGTAACGAGAGGGACTTGGGAGAAAGGAGGAAGGCAAGAAGCTATCACGGGACCCGACTCTGATCCTGGCTCCAGGGTGCCGGGTGACGCCCTCCCAGGGCCTGGTTCCCCGCTGGGGTCTTTCCCCGAGGGTGGACCGGCCCACGGCGGGTCGGGGGGGCTCACCGTTCCCCCGGGGCGGCGTGCCCGGCTGAGGCCGGGCCGGCTCGGGCACTGACCTTGAGCTCCTGGGCGACCTGGGCCTTCTGCCGGTACACGGAGTACAGGAAGGCGGTGACCACGGAGCTGGTGCCCAGGAGGATGAACTGGCTCAGCGAGGGCCGCCCTCCGCTCTCCATGGCTGTGCCGAGCCCTGGCGAAGCCGCCCCGCTCGAACGACCCCTAGCCCCTCAGCTTCCCGCCACCCGGAACCACACCCCCAGAGACGGCTCCTCCCGGAAGCCCGCGGCCAGCCTCCCGCCGAGCGCACAGGACCCGGAACCGGAAGTTGATCGGGGTGGGGCGGGCACAACAGACCGGAAGGTGCTGTTGCCAGGGTGATGCACAGGCATCAGCTGCTTCTGGGGGAGTCAAGGCTCCAGGAGTTGGGAGTGCAGAGTGGTTTGCGGAACCTGAGTGATCTCTCGTCTCTCCGCGACCCGTTCGACTCTGGCCGTAGTTGAATCGCTTGCGGTGCCACGGTTTCACGCCTTCTGCTTTCCTGGGGTTATTATTATTGCAGGCGTTGTTCGATGACTCCGCCATTGGTTTGGGAGGAAAGAACGTCTAGTAAGCACTTAAGGGGAGTATGCATTTAAGCTTCAGGGTCTTGGCTTTTATTCTTCCGTTTTACACGTGAGAAGACAGGCCAGAGAGGTTAGGGGATGTGCTCAAAGTCACACTGCTACTGGAGAGGAATTTACCGGACTGCACAGCTTATTCGGAGAAGGCAATGGCAGCCCACTCCAGTCCTCTTGCCTGGAAAATCCCATGTTCGGAGGAGCCTGGTGGGCTGCAGTCCATGGGGTCGCTAAGAGTCGGACACGACTTGAGTGACTTCACTTTACTCTTCACTTTCATGCATTGGAGAAGGAAATGGCAACCCACTCCAGTGTTCTTGCCTGGAGAATCCCAGGGACGGGGGAGCCTGCTGGGCTGCCGTCTATGGGGTCGCCCAGAGTCGGACATGAGAGAAGCGACTTAGTAGCAGCAGCAGCACAGTTTATTACCGCCAAGACGGCAGATTATATCACTAACTTCTTCATCTGCCATCACCACACATAACAACTTACTTTACTAATTTATAATTACAGCTACAACTGTTGTTTTCCAGTAGTCATGTATGGATGTGAGAGTTGGACTATAACGAAAGCTGAATGCCGAAGAATTGATGCTTTTGAACTGTGGTGTTGGAGAAGACTCTTGAGAGTCCCTTGGACTGCAAGGAGATCCAATCAGTCCATCCTAAAGGAAATTAGTCCTGAATATTCATTGGAAGGACTGATGCTGAAGCTGGAACTCCAATACTTTGGTCACCTGATGTGAAGAACTGACTCATTCGAAAAGACCCTGATGCTGAGGAAGATTGAAGGCGGGAGGAGAAGGAGGCAAAAGAGAGTGAGATGGTTGGATGGCATCACTGACTCAATGGACCTGAGTTTGAGTAAACTCCAGGAGTTGGTGATGGACAGGGAGGCCTGGCGCACTGCAGTCCATCGTGTCGCAGAGTCAGACACGACTGAGCGACTGAACTGAACTGAATGGTGACAAAAAGTTTTACCAACATCAAACCACTTAATCCTCACTGCACAGTTATAGAGCAGATTTCAAAATGTTTTCTGATCTGTACAGCAGCAATTCAATATGTTTGCAGATTATACTCCACATAGGTTATTACAAGATAATGCCTATAATTCCCTGTGCTATACAGTATACCCTCGTTGCTTATCTATTTTGTATTTGGTGCTTTGTATCAGTTAATCACATAACCCCTATTTTGTCTCACCCAACATCCCTCTCCCCTTTGGTAACCACAAGTGTATTTTCTACATCTCTGAGTCTGTTTCTGTTTTGCACGTACATTTGATTTGTGTTGTTTTTAGATTCCACATACAAATGATATCTTACAGAATTTGCCTTTCCCTGTCTGACTCATTTCACTAAGCGTAATATTCTCTAGGTCCATCCAAGTGGCTGCAAATGGCAGTGTTTCAGCCTTTTTTTAATGACTGAGTGAAATATCACAGCTTCTTAATCCACGCATCTGTTGCTAGGCACTCGGATTGCTTCCATGTCTTGACTATTGTAAATATTGCTGCTATGAACATTGAGGTGTATTTATCTTTTCAAATTAGTGTTTTTGTTTTTTCCAAATATATACCCAGGAGTGGAATTGCTGGATAACTTTATTTTTAATTTTTTAAGGAGGCTGCAAACTATTTTCCACAGTGACCGTACCAATTTACATTCCCACCAACAGTGTACAAGAGTTCCCTTTTCTCCACATTTTCTCCAACATTTGTTATTTGTAGACTTTTGATGATACTCATTCTGACAGGTGTGAGGTGATATGATTGTTGTTTTGATTTTCATTTCTCTAATAATTAGTGGTGTGGAGCATCTTTTCATGTGCCTGTTAGCCATCTGTATGTCTTCTTTGGAAAAATGGCTATACAAGTCTTCTGCCCATTTTTTGATTAGGTAGTTGTTGTTGATGATATTGTATATTGATATTGTTATATGAACTGTTTGTATATTTTAGATATTAACCTCTTGTCAGTCATATCATTTAAAAATAGTTTCTCCCATTCCATAGATTGTCTTTTTATTTTGTCAATGGTTTTCTTTGCTGTGCACAAGTTTAAAGTTTAATTAGGCCCCAATTGTTAATTTGGGGGTTTATTTCTGTTGCCTTAGGAGACTTGTCCAAGAAAATAGCGCCACACTATGTCAGTGAATGTCCTGTCAGTGTTCCCGTCTAAGAGTTTTATGATTCTCATTCTTTTTTTCCCCATTTTTTAAAATTTATTTTTTTTGTTGTTGAAGGATAATTGATTTAAAAATTTTGTTGTTTTCTGTCAAACCTCGACATGAATCTACCATAGGTATACATATATCCCTGCCCTTTTGAGCCTCCCTCCCATCTCCAGCCCCACCCCACCCCTCTAGATGATCCAGGTTCTCATTCTTACGCTTAGGTCTTTAAACCATTTGAGTGGATGTTTGCATATGGTGTGGCTTGCGTGCCTGCTCAGTTGCTCAGTCAAGTTCTACTCTTTTGTGACCCTATGGGCTGTAGCTGGCCAGGTGGAGAAGGGAGTGTCCAACAGCAGATTTCTTTTTTTAAACTAAATGGTAGTTGATTTACAGTGCTTCCGGTGTACAGCAGAGTGATTCAGTTATACGTATGTATCCACATGTGTTCAGTTATACGAATTTATCTATTCAGTTACACGTGTATCGGTTCTTTTTCAGATTCTTTAACATTATAGGTTATTACAAGATGTTGAATGTAGTTCCCAGTGCTAGGTCCTTCTCATTTATCTATTTTATGTAGAATAGTGTGTATCTGTTAATCCCTCTTCCTAATTTCTCTCTCCCCCACCTTTCCCCTTTGCTAACCATAAGTTTGTGCTCTATGAAAGATTGTCATTCTTAAAGCAGGTTGGTCTTAAATAGCTCTGCCTTTTTTTTTTTTCTGCCAAAGGCTGAAATCCTTCAGTAGCCGGGCTGAACTACTGCGACATTTTGAAATTCCATCATGTGGACCTTGTTAGGAGTGATGGACGACGGGCACTTTCAGCTGCAGCCAGATGTCCCGAGGGCGCCATTCTCAGCTCAGCGTGACTGTCCTCATTGAATCACAAGTTAAAGTGGAGCCTCTGACTTAGAGAAAGTGAGGTGAGTTCCCAAGAGGAAAGTGAGGTACCCAGCAGAGAATCTAGGAGGAGCAACTGGAAGGGGAGGGGTTTACTAAGGACAGTGCCACCGCTGGAAGCATTTCACAAAATTCCTGAGTTCCCCGTGAGTCCCCGGGTCAATGCCCTCTCAGGCACTCCATTCCAGTAAGACACTTGGCAGGGTCCAGGCACCAGACAGATTTGGAAGATTAGGCCTCCTGTGCTAATGCTGCCACATAGATGTGCCGAAGGAAATTTTTAAAAGGTTAACAATCACAGCAGGTCCTCACTCGCTTTCCTTACAGAGCTTTCCCATGGGAGAGCCCTTAACTTAATCATTATTAGGAATTATCAAGTGTCAGCATACTTTTAATGAGCATTTAACCCATGGAGTGTACTCCCCCAGACACAGCGGAATGCAGGGGTACGATGCAAAATATGCCCCCTGACCTCAGGCAGAGTGTCGGGGAGACCTTTTTCTTTTTATAATGAGGTAAACTCCATCCCATCCCCAGGTGGCCACACAGCTGTCTTCTGTCCCTGTGAGTCTGCACCTTCTAAAAGTGCATGTAAATAGGACCACGTGGTATGCACTCTCTCTTCTCTGGCTTCTTTCCTCAGAATAATTATTTTGACATTTATCCATATTACTGAGTGTCAGTAGCAGTTTATGCCTGCTTTCTTCCTGAATAATGTTCCATTGTGTAAATACGCCACAGTCTGTTTACTCGGTAACCTGTTGACGGATATTTGAGTTGTTTCCAGCTTTAACTGTTACCAGTAAAGCTGCTCTGAACACGTATGTCTAAGTCTTTGTGCAGACGGATGCTTTTGTTTCTCTTGGGTAAAGTCCTCGGACAGGAATGGCTGGGTCATACGTCAGATATATGTTTAACTTCTTAAGAAACTACCCAGAAGTTCCCAAAAACAGTTGTACCATTTTACATTCCCACCAGCAGTGGGTGAGAATCCCAAAGCTTTCACATCCTCAACAATATCTGGTATACTCAGCCTTTTGATTTTAAACATCCTGATACAGTAGTCCCCAACCTTTTTGGCACCAGGGACCAGTTTCGTGGAAAACAATTTTTCCACAGACCCAGGAGGGAGGATGGTTTCAGGATGATTCAAACGTATTACATTTATTGTGCACTTTATTTCTATTATTATTACAGTCCATGGAATTCTCCAGGCCAGAATACTGGAGTGAGTAGCCAATCCCTTTGCCGGAGGATCATCCCAACCCAGGGATCAAACCCACATCTCAACATTGTGGGCAGATTCTTTACCAGCTGAGCCACCAGGGAAACCCAAGAATACTGGAGTGGGTTGCCTATCCCTTCTCCAGCGGATATTCCCAACCCAGGAATTGAACTGGCGTCTCCTGCATTGTAGGTGGATTCTTTACCAACTGAGCTATCAGGGAAGCCCATTATTATGTACAAAAAAGATCTTCATGACCCAGATAATCACAATGGTGTGATCACTCGCCTAGAGCCAGACATCCTGGAATGTGCAGTCAAGTAGGTCTTACAAAGGATCACTACGAACAAAGCTAGTGGAGGTGATGGAATTCCAGTTGAGCTATTTCAAATCCTAAAAGATGATG